CAAAAACTGAGTTCTCTGGCACACGCTGCACAACATAAACACGAAGAAAAACATGAAAAGTCAATTACTCTTTAAAGCTAAAAGGTACGGGAAGATAAAGAAGCCAAAATATTATCACATAATTCTTACAATAGGAGTCATATTGTACGAAGGTGGTTCAAGGATGAACTTTTCATTTCTCTCCACCCCATTAACAATGAGCTTCCCATTGCGAACCTGCAATCATCATTGTTTTGTAGTTGGAGTTAAATAAAAACCATCACTATATTATTAGAAATCATCATTGTTTCGTATTGTTTTTAGGTGCAAGTCAGAGTTAAATTTGAAAATCTAGATTGCCATTTCCAGGGATAATGGTTAACTAGCATAACATTACATGTTCTGAAAGGAGGGCAGAGTCGGCAGTCATTCTGAACAAAATTTTGTTGATATTTCCCGTTTCTTACAGTAGAGAAAATAAAGTGTATTGGTGCGATGATGTCTCTTGGTTGACACACAGGAATGTAATTAACCGTAGCAAGAATTATGAAAGCAAAAAAGCACACCACGATATTGTGACATGGGAAGGTGCTCTAATTCAGTAATCTCACCTCTACAATATCACCTTCCTTGGCAACAACTCGTTTAATGAAGACATCATAGTCAGTATACCCTACTTGCTGAAGGACTGGTGGACTTTTAAAGATAACTACATCATTGGCACATGGCTTTCTGAAATAATATGTAACCTGGCAATGTTAAGAGGAAAATAAATTTGGTAAACATTCAATAGTTTTCTCATCAAACAGTCACATCACAAACTATAGAGAAGGCGTATCATTGTCAAAGTTTTAGACAAAAAGTCCAAGCATATAATTCTCATAAGATTTTACCTAGGTCAGTGGTTGTATGCAGACAAATATGATCAATCTGGTTTTAAATTAGCTTATGAGAAATTTCAGTGATAGTACTGTTGCCACTCGGTACAAAATTTATATTTCCTTTCCACTATCACCTCAATCATCTACCAGTCATCCTAAATTATAATCTCTGAAAGTTTAACCTTTATTTACCCCCTTCCTTATCATCCTTCTGATGTACCCTTACCCTCAAACAATGCATTTCGAGAAAATCTAAGTTAACACAAGACTAATGGAAAATTGATCATCAAAATTCAGTGACATCCCACATTCCAACTCCCAAAGAAACTCCAAAATCCGAAATGTTATCACCAATTAAGTTCAAACATAAGCCTTATCTTTAAATGTTGCCATTACAATTTCGACTTTTAGCCAACCAACAGGATTCAAAGCTTAGCAAACAGAATTCATACTCCATAAGCAATATATCCACCAAAAAACAAATAAAGTTCTGACCTTTTCTGCTACAATTCGGTCTCCCACATCCAAAGTAGGATACATGGACAGCGAAGGAATGTACCTCGGCTCAGCTATGAAAGACCGGAAAGCAAGCGATACTGCTATCGCCGCAAAGACTGTCTTCGCGTCGTCGTTAGTGATATTGAGCCATTCCGGTAAAGGCCCCCTCTTCTTCTCCACCTGCTCATCATCCCCTCCGCCATCACCACCGCCTCCTCCTCCACCATCATCACCACCTCCTCCACGGTCCCAAACCGCCTTGGTTTCCTCACCAGAGTCCTTTAAAGCATTGCAAGCAAGTTTTTTGAAGTGGGTTTTATTATTTGCGGTTTTTATAGAAGGGGTGAAGTGGGTTCTTGAAAGTGGGTGGAGATTGAGCACTGTGTAATTAGGGATTTTGATGGGTGTGGAGAAGTGGGTATGGTTAAAGTTAGGGTTTTGGATGGGAGACACGTAGAGAGAGCATCTCTTTCTCTCCCTCTGTCTCAAGCTAGCTATGCATTCAATCTGCAGATTTTTAGCCTTTGGTATTTACTTTTTTTGAATTTTTATTTTAGTTTTGAATATTCATGAGCTTCCAATGTTCTCCATTTTGTTGGTAGTGCAGTGGGACCCGCTCCAATATTTTAATTGTGTTTATTGAGAGCTTAAATGCATTCTTGAGCTAAAACTCCACTTTAGGGAGATTGCAGTGAAATTAACATGAGAATAATCACTGTGGCAGAGAAGAAAAGCTACAGGGGCTGGCTGCTAGCCTGCAACATAAAACTTCGTTTATTAAAAGTAACCCTTTTTATTACTCATTTGTGAATAGTATTTTCATTTAACAAATATATATCAGAAGAAATTGTTATCTTTGGCCCTGAATTATCAACATATGTTACACATTTCATGTAGCAAATTACATAATTTCCTACACTTTGACTTGCACAATCAGAAGGGACACCAATAGAGATGGAAGTATATGCTGCAACACTATCAACAGCTCTGAATAGCAAAGAATCATCAACACTCATGAATCTAAGAACCAAGGAAATGTTCTGGAGCAGGATAATGTTTTGTCCCTCGTCGAAATAGCATCATCTGAGTCGCCTCTGTTTCCTCATCAATGTATTTATTTACAACACTGGGCGTGTATTTACAAACTGCCTGCACATCCCAACTTGAGTCTGAAACTGCACATATGATCATTGGTTGCACGCTAAATGCAGACGTATGAGCAAGACACATGGTTTTAGTAGCATTCTGCATACTGTCAGATGAAAACTGAAATCCTCTTGAAATCATCTGACCTCTTATGTTGGCAGCAGATCCGCCGTTATCAGAAACAACTACTCCAGGTATTGGCAAAACATTAGGATGAGAAGTACTTAAGTTTTGTTTCCTATTAATCATCTCCAAACTCTGCTCAGGTACCTTGTCCCTCCTATTATTTTGTACCACTTCCCTTTCTTCTTCTGAATCATTTAAGACTCTCATGGCTTCGGTCATTAAACCTATCACACGCCAAGCTTCGGCGACAAGCTGGATAGTTCTCTTCTCAGGAATAACACCCTTCTCTTCCATTATATGGAGCAAATCTTCTGCTTTCCATGGTTGCCTAGCTTCTCCATATCCCCATATTAGGGTCTCAAAAGTTTTCAAATTGGGGGCAATGCCCATTTCACACATTTTCTCATAGATACTCCAAGCATGCTCCATTTTGCCAGCTGTGCACCACCCACTCATGATGGTTGTGAAGATTACAACATTTGGATGCACACCATAATTTCCCATGGAAATCATAACTGACTCAGCCTTACCAGGCTCACCAGCACGCACATAGCCTTTTGCAAGAATGCTGAATGCATGGATGTCTGGTTCTATGTCAGCTTTTATCATGTCATTGAAGACCTCCTGGCATTTTTCCATGAGCCCTGCCCAGCTCCATGCATCCATTATGGTGCTAAATGTTATCACATCTGGCTTCATCCCAAATTCTTCCATCAATGTTAGTATCTGTCAAGTTAGGCTGATTGTCAGTGAAAATTCTGTGAGAAAATTGAGGAACTGAGTGACACATGATTTCTCTTTTCATAGTTTTTGCAGATATATTCCCATTAAAATGCCAAAATTAACAGTGCAATATCTAAGGCAAATGGCATTTCACTAGTCTTTTAGAGTGGCATTGCAGATGTAAGAACATTCCATTATTTTCATAGTCTTATATAAGTAAAATAATATACTACTTCACATCTATCAGGGTCAGAGAACTACACACAATTCAGAATAACAAGGTTAGTGAACACCAAGATTCTGTCAGCGAAGTGAAACATAAAAGCTCAAAATACATCATGGTGAGAGAGAGAGAGAGACAGAGAGAGAGTTAATCAATAAAAGGATTGAAGGTAAAAACTCACCTCATCAACTCCATCAGTGTCTGTAATGTCCAAAAACCCCTTGATAAGAGAGTTAATAATAACAAGATTTGGATGCACCCCTAGATCCTTCATTCTGTATACAAACCTCAAGGCATCTGTCATGCTACCTTCTTTACAATATCCATTTACAATGATGCCACAAGTTCGCTCGTTGGGGTTCACTTTGTTGTTCTGCATCTCCGACATCAACCTTTCAGCGATATTTGTCTCTCCATTCTCAGCATAAGCCCTTGCCAATGTGTTGTAAGTCACTACATCAGGTTGTATACCAGATGCAACCATCTTATATACCATATTCCAGGCTTGATTTATTTTCTTCTTGTTACACCAGGCTCTAACAATCATGTTATATGTCCTGTCATTGGGTTTCGTATTCTCATCCTGCAACATAAGCTCTAGCAATTTTAAAGATTCTTCAGGTTTTCCAGCAATTCCATATCCTTTGATAAGAGTGTTAAAAGTACTGGTTGTGGGCTTACATCCACTCTCCTCCATTTTCTGAAAGATTTTCATGGCATCGTCTATATTTCCAGATTCAGAGGAAGCATTAATCATTGCATTAAAAAGTATTGAGTCGGGCTTCAGACCATTCTCCTCCACTTCAGAGAGGAGCAAGGGAATAGACTTGAAACGCCTCTGGCGGGTCAAGGCAGCTCGGCAGGGCCAATGGAGCAGAATTTTTACTTTTGATATTACTACTCAGTCCCATTCATATATAAAATGTGTTGCAGAAGGTATTAAGCGAACACCGTTCATGTTGATGGTTCACCGGCTTTCACTCTTGTATGCACTTTGTTGATGGTACAAATTATATGAAGCCACTTTCTTGTATGCACTTTGTGTTGTGATGAAAAGGATACATCTGACATGCACTCACTAGAAATCCATAAACACCGATCATGCAAATTACTTCAACACGATCTTTTTTCTTAACACAAAACAGTATAGCCGTGCGGTTATACGATTTATAATTTAAAAAAAAAAACCAACCACCTGGTGCTTAGCGCTCGCGTCGCCACGTGCCAAAGAGGGTATAGCCGTGCGGCTATACTATTTATGAATGAAAAAAGACCTCATTAAAGCCGGACGGCTATACTCGGTTTGATGAATTAAAAAAGATCCCGAGTATAGCCGCCCGGCTACACTATTTATAAAGAAAGAGAGGACCCGTGCATTGCGATTCGGCGCCACGTATAGATGAACTCCTCTTATATACGACAAGCCGTTTCAGCTCTAGTTCTTAAAATATCCTCTACTGCGAGGATGTAGAACGAGGCACCAAGACTAGCAATGGTAGACTGCCACGTTGTGAACGCCCACAGTATTTTCCATTCCAAGCAATGCGAGCATTACGCTGCGAAGAACACGTGGAGAACAAAACCAGTGCAGCACATAATAACTGCCACCCGCGCGTATTTTCAATTTTCCATCCATAAAAAATCTAAAAACTATAAATTGAGCGTCCGTCTTCCCCACCTCTGATCATCTTCTCCACCAATCGCAAAGGAATCCAAGCTTTCTCTCTTTACATCTATCCGACTCTCTCTCTAGATCTCCGAAGATGCCGAGCAGAAACCCAGGAGTGATAACCCAGGACTGGGAGCCGGTGGTCATCCACAAGTCCAGGCCCAAGGGTCAAGACCTCCGCGACCCGAAGGTATTTCCGTCAGTTGTGGTTGATGGTGTGACCACCTGAACCAATTTTCTCGGAATCACCTGTAAGCCAAGGTTTAAAATCAAACCATGCAACACAAAGCGTAGAACTAACACTAAGCTTTAAATAACTTGTACAACGTGTTCTTCGTCTAATTTCTTTCCTAATTTATTGTCAACGGAGTCTTGTTTCCCTTTTTTTTCATAAAAAAATATAAAAAATCCTATTCTATCAGGGAAAAGGAGTGGAAGTACTTGTATATAAGGGGTGATCATCTCGTTGATTCATATATGATTCATAGCATTCACTACCACTGGAATGTCTATGGATCATCCAAAGTGAAAAACGTATACTCTACATATCAAGGTGTTGAGAGTTGTGACCTATTAGAGAACCACAAAAGTGTCAAATTGCAGCAAGCTCAAGCAAATCAGAGTGTTCAAACAAAGCCTTTATCTGTCTAAAATAATCCTATTTACAACTGGAGTGGCTAATTTACGCTTTATATGGCATATGGAGTTTGCCAGCTACCCCTTTCCTAGAATAAGGTTACATGCTAAAGACGTCAAAACTAGAAATTTTTACACTGCAATCTATCAATCTCATCATGCCTTTCTGTTAGTTGCCTGATCTATATGAGCTCTTAAGCTCATGCTGCATACAAAACAATACATCAAAACAATCTTCGTCGTCAAAATTACCAGCCTGCGAGGCAGTTAAAAGGGTTTTCAGCCAGCCTTCATGGAGAGTTGAGAACTCCGATCGCTGTTCGCTCGTCTTAAAACTTCGTCCAACTGATTTTTTCATCACTTGGCCAGCCTTGGAAGCGGCTTCAACCACCTGCTCGGGGATCCCGGCCATTATTGCTACTTGCAATCCATAACTCTCTGGACAAGCCCCAGAGGTAAGGCGATAGAGAAACACCAGCTCTTGGTCTCTTTTAGAAGGGCATTCAGATTTTGACCTAAAAGCACAGGCCATGTGTTGCAATGTAACATGAGGGTGAGAAGCAAATTCCTTCGTTAGCGGGTGATAGTGAGTTGCAAACAATAATCTGCAGTTAATCTTTTCGACAAGATGGCGAAATACCTAACCAAGAGAAAATACAAACATTAACATGTTGCTTTACCATGGCAGATAGACCTACTGTCCTAACAGATTAGTAGAGAGGGAATCTCACAGCGTATGCAATGGCATATCCGTCAAAGGTGCTTGTTCCGCGACCCAGTTCATCAAGAATAACCAAGGAATCTTGAGTGGCATGTTGAAGAACTGATGCTGTTTCTGTGCATTCTACGAAGAACGTACCTACAAGGCTTCTATGATCAAACTTTGCAATTCAAGATATCACAAATTTGTCTCTTTTTTATGTATGTTTAAGAAAAACCCAAAAGATTTACAGAGTTTGTTAATAATGACACTGACAGAAAGAGTTGAGAAAAACCCAGCATCATCTCACTTTGTTTTCCATTTTTCAAAGAGGTGATTTAGAAGTTAGAACACAGAGAATAAAAACAAGGTAAATGAGACTATAAGTTTGCTAAAAAGACTTACTCTCGCCAGTCATGATACGGTCAGTGGCACCAAGCCGTGTGAAGATGATATCCACAAGTGAGAGAACACATATCTCACAGGGAACATAACAGCCCAACTGCAAGCCATCAATGAACTAAATGACTAAACATCAAAAAATCTAATGGCCAAAATCTATAAACTCTTCAATGACCAACTTCTGGGTTCTAAAGGACAAAACAAATAACTCAGGAAAAAAAAGAACCTGGGCTAGTATAACAGCCAGACATGTGGCGCGAAGAAGAGTTGATTTCCCACCCATATTTGGTCCAGTCAATAGTAAAGTGCGTGGATGATAGCCATCTGTATCCTCACCTAGGACTATGTCATTTGGGACAGGCAGTCCTCCATTTTCCCCAAGAGCAAATGGATGCCATAGTCCTTTAATATTAAGTGTGGGACTTCTGTTCTCTCCATTCAAAGTCATATTTTTTGATTGAGGCAAAATAACAGGTCTGGACATAGCCCCACTTGGAAAACTTGCAGTAACTGCAAAAGATCTTAGTACATCAATACAGTTGATGGCATGTATGGCATCAGACCATTCGGTTGCTTTCTCAAGAAATAGCTCAATCAGAATGGAGAGTGTTTCGGCATCTGAATCAGTTGCGTCGTGATTCTGGTATCAAATTCAATGTTAGTAATTTTCATAGAGGTTCAACTCTTGAAACTAGAATCAAAATGTTAGTCATGGAAAGAAATTCACCTAAGATGCAGTACTAATTCAATGATAAAGCAGTCTGAAAAAAAGGTAATACTAATACAAAAAGAAGATATGCTGCAAGCTTTATATGACTTCTATAAAGCAAGATACGAGCATTTGGGGGTAAAACCTGGTAATTTGGGAAGTCACTATCTACAGCTGCTTCAAATTGGCTAAGATATTGATCAAGCCCATCACTGCCACTTAGAATTGGCACTGTAAATACTTTTGATAGTGGTTCAATGATATACCCTTCGTTCTGTAATAGCTTTAACAAATCCATTCCAAATCTGAGGCCTTTCACAAGAGTTCCAAACGCTTTCACCTGTACCACATTAAAAGCATTATACATTTACAGTGTTATTCTATCTTACCATAGAAATTCATGGTTAAGGAGAATGGTTTGATTTTATCAAACCATAAATCTATTGTCTGAACAGTGAACAGCACTGTCTCAAATTCTGAGGAGCAAAAACATTTGCCATATTCTTTGAAGTTTCAATGAAATTCCAAAATTAAAGTAGAAAAGACTTACTCTCTGTTTCAATACTTTTTTGCCAAACAAGGGCAGTAGGAGAGAAGCTGACGACTGAACACTTGCCCTAATCCGTCCAAGCACCCTTTCTAAGTCTGGAAGCTTGCGAAGATATTGAGCAATAAGTGGTATCATTTCTGAATGTGCCAGTAGATCTTCAACTACATTAAGCCTATTATTAATGGACTCAACAGATTTCAACGGATGGCAGAGCCACTTCCGTAAAAGCCGCTTCCCGGATGATGTCACACAGTTATCGAGATATGTGTACAGTGTACCTAAAACAAGATAACAATAAGTGGAATCAAGAAATGGACAAACTCAGTATTCTGGTTGAAGGCAATGAAAGTGCAAAACTTGCCTGATGGACCACCATCAGCACTATTACTGAAAATCTCCAGATTTACAAGAGTTTGTCCATCCATTTTGAGGCAACCCCTATAAACTTGGTAAGGAAATATATCTCCATTCCGTAAAACATCATCTAACTGTATCGAAATGGAACGTGTCAATTATAACTAAGGCAGACGTAGATGTTCTATATAATTATTTCTTCTTTTACGAAAGAATTGCAAGGGAGCTTACCATCACCCTGGATAGATGGCCAATAAGTGCACCAAGAGCAGACAAGGTGATTTCATGGTCTATCACACTGTCAAGTCCATGATTCCATGATTTAGAAGACGCTTTGAAGTATCCTTTCAACTGAATTAAATTTTTAACTTCAGAAGCGTCTACAGAATCACTGATTGACTGTACTGCAGTCAATTGCATTGCAGCAGAACCTGCAATATGAACATAAATGCAGTCAGACTCAACTACATCGCACATACACACACACAAAAACTCTCTCTCTCTCTCCCTCATTTAACAATCAGGAAAATCAAAAGGAGAATTTGAACCTGTTGAGTACTTTTTCAGAGCTTTTTGAGCTTCTTTTGACAGCCCTGCATAGATTTGAATATTTAAGTTCAACAGATGAAGTGATTTTCATGCAAACTTCAAAATGGAACTATGACACACCAAAAGTTCCGGGGCAAAGAATATTTACCTCTACTTTCATATATAACTTCTTTAGGTGACACCTAAGTCAAATCCCATCAAGAAAATTAGAAAATCAGTTTTCAAGCCTCCAAAACTACTCATTGAAGATATTATACAACGAAAAGAATACAAGAACATACTTGCATCAACAAAGCCCCCAAAGCAGCACAGGAAGTATCATCAGTGATGGCACCAATCCAGAATTTTAAAGCAGCACAATCCACAAAAGCAAACCCATACACAACAGTACCTTTCTCCACCGCAGTGTTCCCCTAAACATATATTTAAAGGAAGTTTGTTATTAGTTTTATAGTCCTGAAAACACATTTCTAGTACCCAAAAGATAGGCATGCAGAGAAGAAATGAAAATCCTTTTAGCATGACAAACTTATAAGGAAAAAGCATCAGAAGATGCTACGAAGCCAACTACTATAATGTATATGATAAGCAGAAAAGTAAAAAGAAATATATATTCTAATTGTCAATACGTCCACTTTGTGATGCCCAGAATGATCTTAACAGAATAAGAGTATGCTCTAATGCTTTTTTGTAACATATCTGAGTTGAATAACTATTACATTCAGGGGCTTCTGGACTGGAACATATTACAAGGTAAACTTATGTGAACTGCAGTACAAGTGACATCACACTGGGCTTAAATCTAACACAATTAGATTTAGGACATGGAATGCAAGGTATGGCAAGAAAATTGCAAAAAGCATATTTAGCATGCACATTCAATAAAATAAAATAAAAAATCAGAGCATTACAAACCTCTTTTATTGCAAGAAGATGAACAGCATCAGGGCCAATATTTCCGTCAGTTGTGGTTGATGGTGTGACTACCTGAACCAATTTTCTCGGAATCACCTGTAAGCCAAGGTTTAAAATCAAACCATGCAGCACAAAGGTTACTTAAACAATCACAAAGTGTAGAACTAACACTAAGCTTTAAATCTTAGGAAGATTATTTACACGTTACAAACTTCATGAAGTAGGAAGGAAAAGATTCCATTGGCCAAACCCTTTAACTTTCTTATATATTAGCATCGTTAACTTACAGACTTTGCACCCCTGGCTTTTGCTTGATCAGAAGTCTCCAGCTGCTCTATCCGCCCAACTTTATAGCTTCATAAAAGATGTAACAAAGAAAAGTGAATATGATGTATAAATGTAGGAAATGAGACACGGGCGTATGACTACACAGGAAAATTATGATCAAAGGCATCTAGCAACAAAAGATGCAGATGATTAACAGGGAAAATCAATGCATGCAAATACTCAGGTCAACAGACGGACATATACTTTTAAAAGGTTGACCTGAACAAGTGATGTTAACTAAACAATTTAGTGTTTCTAGTCACCTGCCGACATTTCCCCACACCACTTAAGGTCATTTTCCAATCAAGCTCCTTATGGCCAGTTTCAGCATCTAGTTCATAAAGCTCATAAAATTTTCCCTGTGTTTGATCACAAGCCATGAAATTAGGTAATAATGTTATCAAAAAGAATAAGAATTTGAGCTTAGAAACTCAATTTGTCTTGCCCCTTATAATACATGAAATAAATCTAACTTTTGAGGTATATCAAAAATAGAAAATCATCCCAAAATTCATGGTGCAATAAATTAGATTTTAATGACCCATTATGAAGGTCATTTAGTTGATAGCCTTCACAAGAAAAATTTGTATTTTTGTCCTTTTCCCAAATGGATTGCTCTTGTAAACATGCATTTGTAGGCATTTAATCCAGCTAAAGGGGTTCCAAAATAAATGTGGCAGTTGTAGACATATATGATCCGGCTATAAAATATCAACGGTAAGCAAATGACCAGTTCTGACTAACCACTTTGAAGAAAAGCACAACATCCATATATTGACACTTGACATCCCAATATTGTCTCTGTGATGCTGACATTTTCTTCAAAGCATCAGGTGGTATATAGAGCGTTGTTTGGTCATAGAGAGGATCATCAGGCCTTCTTCTATTTGCATCCCTGATTCGGGATCGGTCAAGCCACTCAAACTTGCTAGCCATATCAGATACTTCCCCATGACTCTTGTCTGAGGTTATTGGCTCCTGAAGAAGTTTCACTCTTTTGCTAGAATTCAGCAATGAACTCTCAAGCTTATCCCCAAACTTGGGAACATCCTCCAGAATTCGTTTCATACGGGGAACCAGACGTTTTGTTCCCGGTGTTTCTGGTTCAGCAACGTCATCGTCACATTTGATATGCACAACAGAACCTTGATCAACCTTTTTATGGGAATTGGTAATGTTGTTCTTAAATAGAGTGTGTTGAGAAGCCACTGCTGGTTTACACAACCCTTGAGGTTCATTAGGTTTACCAGATACTGTAGAACCATAAGAGAAACCACCATTTGATTGACTCCTACAAAATTAAACAAGCAAAATGAATAAATTGTTTGAAGAACTCAGGTAACGAGAAAATAGAACTTTAGAGAGCACCAAACATAGGTATTTACAGACCAACAACAACTATCTCTCAGTGAAATACCAAAACTAAAGAGACAGTACTCAAAGGCTCAGATATTAGCTTGAACAAAATTTTAAACCCGAAACCCTAAGAATTTATATACAAGATTGAAATTATACATATCTTTAGATGTTTGAAGAAAAATATTAAATAGTACCTCTGGCTCTGAGAAGCCGTTTGTCTGTCATCAACCTTCATAAACTTGTGCATAATACTGGAGAAGGGAAAAGAGTCTTTCAAGTTCCCCATAATATGAAAGAAGTGACATATTGGACTCTTGTGTTGACTATACAATAATTCAATGACTTCTAATGTGTATGAATTTTTGTTTATGGATGTTTAGCAACTAATAGTAATGGGGGCGACGAGGTTGTTAAGGTTCACTTGCTCGCCACTTAGCTTCCATGCTAACAAAAACCTTACATAATAAACAATGTGGTTTTATTCTTTATTCATTGCAATTACAAATAAATGAAATTAATTGTTGAAGAAAATCTTTAATAAAAATATTACATGTGCGCTATGCTACAAGACTATGCCTCTGAATTTTGCTTTTCAGTTCAGCGACTGTTTCAAAATTGGTAGAGATCAGTGAAGGGCACCTTCTTCTTCTTCACCATCTCTTAACAACACCCGTTGCAAAGCAAGAATGGTGGTTGAACTCGAAAGAAACCTTGAGTGTGTGCTAACACAAAATTCAAAAGTGATTGAAGTATCAAGCTACGGGGACTAAAAAAAAAATGAGAATGGCACAAGAAAGAGTCCATTGAGAAATTTTACTTTTTTGGTCAATCTCAGTTCATTCATGCCCCAAAGCTACACTATAGAGAGGAAAAAAAACAAAGATTACAAGAGCCAAAAGGCCAATACATAAAGATGAGTAAGTCCCAACTCCGAAATGCATAAAGTGTAATTTGGTTCGTTGAAGAGGGTGCACTTATATTGTAAGCAAAGCGCACACAACTTTCTCATGGATATTCAACAATGTATTTTTATTATTCGCATAAATTATCCTAGAAAAACAATTTAAAAATGAACGATTTCAATTATACATTCATAGTCCACAAAATAAGATATCCTTATTTCCTAACTATAAAAAGCCTATCCTTTTTATTTAAGTTCAACAGATGAAGTGATTTTAATAGTTGAACTAGCCTTCAACCTGCCCTTGTGGTTCATTGCGCTTGCACTAACTCCTAGTGGTCTTGGGTTCGAAGGTTGGTACCACATTCTCAATAGTTAAGAACATGACAACAGATTTTGGGGTCAAATCGAGAATAAAGCTAAATGGATAATGTCCTTTCTACTCGAGCGGAGATCCTTCTTTTATAAATATATATAATATATAAAAAATAAAGGGTTATTCGCAGCAATGGTCTATACCCATATTTACAGTTTGGTCACTCAATTCAATTATTAGTTGCAGAGGTCACCCAATTAGGTGTTTTGTTGCACCGTTAGTCTTACCGTCAAGGCTTTCTAATGGTAGGGACTAATGGTGCAACACAACACCTAATTGAGTGACCAAAATGTAACTTCGAGTATAGTTGAGGAATCATTGCTACAAATAATCTTAACTGAAAAGTCACATTTGCCCATCAATAATCTAAGAGATGCTTGCCACGTCATCATTTAAAACAGAAAAAATAACAGACTTGATGGTAGGACTAACGGTACAACAAAACACATAATTAAGTGACCAAAGTGTAACTTGGGGTATAGTTGAGGGACCATTGCTGCGAATAACCCAAAAAGAAAACCCACTGTATAGCCGAACGGCTATACTATTTATATATAAAAAGGGACCCCCGGACTCTGCGCCCGCTTCACCACGTGTCAAAAACCGTATAGCCGAGCGGTTATACAATTTTTTAAAATTAAAAACCGTAGTATAGCCGCATGGCTATACTATTTATAATTTTAAAAAAACCAACGGCCTGGCGCTTTGCTCTTGCTTCGCCACGTGTCAAAATAGTATAGCCGTTCGGCTATACTATTTATGAAAAAAATAATAATAAAAAAAGACCCCAGTAAGGCCGACCGGCTATACTCGTTTTTAGAAAAAACAAAATCCCGAGTATAGCCGCGCGGCTACACTATTTATAAAGAAAGAGAGGACCCGCCTAGCGCCTAGCGATTCGGCGCCACGTCTAGATGAACTCCTCTTATATACGACAAGCCGTTTTAGCTCGAGTTCTTAAAATATCCTCTACTGCGAGGATGTAGAGCTTGGCTGTGCATAATTTTTATTTCGGGGAAGGATCAGACACAACTGGTGTGCCTTCAAAGATGCTGACAATGAATTGTTCAGTGAAGATGAGTGTGTACAACCCTGCTACGTTTTTTGGTATTCATGTGAGCTCAACATCAATTAACCTTATGTATTCAGAGATTGCAGTTGCAACTGGCCAGGTAAGATTTATACATTGGACTGTTATTGGATTTATGATGATGCAATGCCAATAAGAAACTCATCCAAGTGAGCTTGAATGGCTGCGTCACATTTGCTTTTTCCATTTCTTTTGCTTGTATCTCGCAACTTCGCACCTGAGGTGCAAGGCTTGAAGGCAGCGGACAACAGCAACACCTGCATCATCTATGCTTCTAACAGGAATTCCAAGATGTTCAGCAGCTACAATGCATTGGAAAGCCACATGGATAGGGTTCATCATGGCTGGGAATCTGCATACCCGACTTGTCAAAAGAAGAATTGCAAGAGGGTGTTTTTGAACAAGAAAGAGTATGAGTCTCGCAAGCTTAGCAGTCTCTGATAACGGTGGAGGAGTTCCGATGATGCTGATGTTTGAAGTCCGGTCACGAGGGAATGTGGTGGGGAAGTTGGTGAGATCAAAGCACCGAAGGCACATATCTTGCTCCATGGAAATCAACTCTCATAATAGCAAACCCATCAAGTTAAAAACGAGTTCATGTACCTACAAATGAGCACCTGGGTTTCACCTGCTGCTATTTACAATGCCTAGTGTTTCTGTTACAGTTATTTTTGTTATCAGTATATGATAGTGTGGAGTGGTATTGTATGCTTTCTTCCTTGCTAAGAAGGTTCATCTTGTCATAGAGGCTATTATACTAGTGGGACCATTGAGACTCACCTTATATGACAATTCATAAGTTATAATGAATTTTGCTTTCCGTGTCCAAGCACATCCACAGGTTTATTTATTTATTTATTTTAAAGTGAGAGAAAATTCTGAATTGAAACAAACAAGTTACTTCATTCAGGGGTCGATTTGCAATGTACAACAATTATGATGAACTAAGGCCTTCCAAAATTCGCCCGTATCCCAGTTTCTTTTAGAATTGAGAAATTACACAAAGATTGAATGCAAAAATGGTAGGGCACAAAACGAAACAATGTCAATCGAAGAGGCAGAAGAAACTTCATATGGTTACTAATTCAATGATACACTTTCCTTTTGCTGAGACGCTGGAACGCTATCCTGCTTATCAGCACCTTCCTTTGCCTGAGACACTGGAATACTATCCTGCTTATCAGCACCTTCCTTTTGCTGAGACACTGGAACGCTCTCCTGCTTATCAGCAGCACAACCAGTCTCAAGAACCGTGGCGCCAATCCTCTTTGGAGGCCAATACCGAAACAGGGATCTTCCTAAAATATTTTTGGCTGGCAGTGGACCCCTAAACATAACACAACTTAAACAGTCAACAGGAAGAACCAAAAGATAGCAAGTAAACTGAGGATCTTAAAAACAACATATCTCACTATTCTGCACTTGGGTTTAGTATACATTACCATACGTGGGAATCATAGCTGTTATTTCTATTGTCACCCATCACAAAAACTGAGTTCTCTGGCACACGCTGCACAACATAAACACGAAGAAAAACATGAAAAGTCAATTACTCTTTAAAGCTAAAAGGTACGGGAAGATAAAGAAGCCAAAATATTATCACATAATTCTTACAATAGGAGTCATATTGTACGAAGGTGGTTCAAGGATGAACTTTTCATTTCTCTCCACCCCATTAACGATGAGCTTCCCATTGCGAACCTGCAATCATCATTGTTTTGTAGTTGGAGTTAAATAGAAACCATCACTATATTATTAGAAATCATCATTGTTTCGTATTGTTTTTAGGTGCAAGTCAGAGTTAAATTTGAAAATCTAGATTGCCATTTCCAGGGATAATGGTTAACTAGCATAACATTACATGTTCTGAAAGGAGGGCAGAGTCGGCAGTCATTCTGAACAAAATTTTGTTGATATTTCCCGTTTCTTACAGTAGAGAAAATAAAGTGTATTGGTGCGATGATGTCTCTTGGTTGACACACAGGAATGTAATTAACCGTAGCAAGAATTATGAAAGCAAAAAAGCACACCACGATATTATGACATGGGAAGATGCTCTAATTCAGTAATCTCACCTCTACAATATCACCTTCCTTGGCAACAACTCGTTTAATGAAGACATCATAGTCAGTATACCCTACTTGCTGAAGGACTGGTGGACTTTTAAAGATAACTACATCATTGGCACATGGCTTTCTGAAATAATATGTAACCTGGCAATGTTAAGAGGAAAATAAATTAGGTAAACATTCAAAAGTTTTCTCATCAAACAGTCACATCACAAACTATAGAGAAGGCGTATCATTATCAAAGTTTTAGAAAAAAAGTCCAAGCATATAATTCTCATAAGATTTTACCTAGGTCAGTGGTTGTATGCAGACAAATATGATCAATCTGGTTTTAAATTAGAAATTTCAGTGATAGTTCTGTTGCCACTCGGTAAAAAAATTATATTTCCTTTCCACTATCACCTCAATCATCTACCAGTCATCCTAAATTATAATCTCTGAAAGTTTAACCTTTATTTACCCCTTTCCTTATCATCCTTCTGATGTACCCTTACCCTCAAACAATGCATTTCGAGAAAATCTAAGTTAACACAAGACTAATGGAAAACTGATCATCAAAATTCAGTGACATCCCACATTCCAACTCCCAAAGAAACTCCAAGATCCGAAATGTTATCACCAATTAAGTTCAAACATAAGCCTTATCTTTAAATGTTGCCATTACAATTTCGCCTTTTAGCCAACCAACAGGATTCAGAGCTTAGCAAACAGAATTCATACTCCATAAGCAATATATCCACCAAAAAACAAATAAAGTTCTGACCTTTTCTGCTAGAATTCGGTCTCCCACATCCAAAGTAGGATACATGGACAGCGAAGGAATGCACCTCGGCTCAGCTATGAAAGACCGGAAAGCAAGCGATACTGCTATCGCCGCAAAGACTGTCTTCGCGTCGTCGGTAGTGATATTGAGCCATTCTGGAAAAGGCCCGCTCTTCTTCTCCACCTGCTCATCATCCCGTCCGCCATCACCACCGCCTCCTCCTCCACCACCATCACCACCTCCTCCACGGTCAGAAACCACCTTGGTTTCCTCACCAGAGTCCTTTAAAGCATTGCAAGCAAGTTTTTTGAAGAGGGTTTTATTATTTGAGGTTTTTATAGAAGGGGTGAAGTGGGTTCTTGAAAGTGGCTGGAGATTGAGGACCGTGAAATTAGGGATTTTGATGGGTGTGGAGAAGTGGGTATGGTTAAAGTTAGGGTTTTGGAGGGAAGATAATGGAGGGGAGACACTTAGAGAGAGCATCTCTTTTTCTCCCTTTGTCTCAAGCTAGCTATGCATTCAATCTGCAGATTTTTAGCTTTTGGTATTTTCTTTTTCTTTTTTTGAATTTTTATTTTAGTTTTGAATATTCATGAGCTTCCAATGTTCTCCATTTTGTTGGTATCCTTCCATTGTGTCCTTTGATCCTGCTACTTGCACATCACTGGATCTTGTCCTGGTAGTGGGACCCACTCCAATTTTAATTGTGTTTATTGAGAGCTTAAATGCATTCTTGAGCCAAAACTCCACAGGGAGATTACAGTAAAATTATCATGAAAATAATCACTGTGGCAGAGAAGAAAAGCTACAGGGGCTGGCTGCTAGCCTGCAACATAAAACTTCGGTTTTCAAAAGTAACCCTTTTCATTACTCATTTGTGAATAATATTTTCATTTAACAAATTTATATCAGAAGAAATTGTTATCTTTCGCCCTGAATTATCAACATATGTTACACATTTCATGTAGCCAATTACATAATTTCCTACACTTTGACTTGCACAATCAGCAGGGACACCAATAGAGATGGAAGTATATGCTGCAACACTGTCAACAGCTCTGAATAGCAAAGAATCATCAACACTCATGAATCTAAGAACCAAGGAAATGTTCTGGAGCAGGATAATGTTTTGTCCCTCGTCGAAATAGCATCATCTGAGTCGCCTCTGTTTCCTCATCAATGTATTTATTTACAACACTGGGCGTGTATTTACAAACTGCCTGCACATCCCAACTTGAGTCTGAAACTGCCTCCTACATATGATCAGTGGTTGCACTCTAAATGCAGACGTATGAGCAAGACACATGGTTTTAGTAGCATTCTGCATACTGTCAGATGAAAACTGAAATCCTCTTGAAATCATCTGACCTCTTATGTTGGCAGCAGATCCGCCGTTATCAGAAACAACTACTCCAGGTATTGGCAAAACATTAGGATGAGAAGTACTTAAGTTTTGTTTCCTATTAATCATCTCCAAACTCTGCTCAGGTACCTTGTCCCTCCTATTATTTTGTACCACTTCCCTTTCTTCTTCTGAATCATTTAAGACTCTCATGGCTTCTGTCATTAGACCTATCACACGCCAAGCTTCGGCGACAAGCTGGATAGTTCTCTTCTCAGGAATAACACCCTTCTCTTCCATTATATGGAGCAAATCTTCTGCTTTCCATGGTTGCCTAGCTTCTCCATATCCCCATATTAGGGTCTCAAAAGTTTTCAAATTGGGGGCAATGCCCATTTCACACATTTTCTCATAGATACTCCAAGCATGCTCCATTTTGCCAGCTGTGCACCACCCACTCATGATGGTTGTGAAGATTACAACATTTGGATGCACACCATAATTTCCCATGGAAATCATAACTGACTCAGCCTTACCAGGCTCACCAGCACGCACATAGCCTTTTGCAAGAATGCTGAATGCATGGATGTCTGGTTCTATGTCAGCTTTTATCATGTCATTGAAGACCTCCTGGCATTTTTCCATGAGCCCTGCCGAGCTCCATGCATCCATTATGGTGCTAAATGTTATC